TAGAAACTAAGCAGGGTCAGCCCTGGTAAGTATTTGGATGAAAGACTGCCAATGAATACCAGGTGCTGCAGGCTATATTTAAGACAAAGGAGCTGGCAGAACCACTTCTGAGTATTCCCAGCCTAAGAAAACTAAGAAAATCCTATGAAATGCATAAGTTGCCATAAGTTGCCAGGTGACTGGAAAGTACACATACACACATGTTTATTAAAAGGGATGGGGATGTCTGGCTTTATATTGAATTGGATGTGACACAGTTAATGGTGAGTGAGAAGCTGAGCCCTTTCTCTCCAACTTTGGGGGAACTCTTCAGCATTTTAGGTTGTGGGGACAACCTTCGGATGCTAGGGATTGCCATAGTTGGATGGCAAGCCCTCACCACACCCACCACAATGAAATCAATTACAGTGGGCCCTCCACATTTGCAGATTTGACATTTGCGGTTTTGATTAATATATCCTGTCTAGGAATCTCTTAAGTCCTCCAGTGCAATTCTACAAGAAGTTGACCGTAGAGTTGTGCTGGAGAACCTAGACATTCCTAAAGAAAACACATCTCTAGGCTTGTGTAGGTCCTCCAGCATGATTCTATGATTAATGTTTGGCAGCTGTTGACCATAGAGTTGCACTAGAGGACTTGGAGATTCCTAGACAGGTGTTCTCTTAGGTAAAAAGAATAGTCTTTTTTATCTCTGGTTTTTCCACGTTCACGGGGGTTCTTCAACCCTAAAACCAGCAAATATGGAGGGACCCCTGTATATCCCCCCCAATGGCTTCTAGGGTGCATGGAGGTATTTTCACCATGTTTTTTTTCCCTCTGGGCCATTTTGAACCCAGAAAAGGCCCTATTTAGCAACAGGAAGTAAGTGAAAGTAACTTCCTGTTTACTTCATGTGTTAGTAAAACTTCCTGGGCCAAAAGTGGCTGGGAGTGGGAGCCAAAACATCAAAAGGCAGCAAAAATAGTTTATTGGAAAAAAAATCAAAACAATGTTTTGACCTTTAGGGAGCCCTGGGGGCAGAATGCACTTTGCCCATTCCTGCTTTATGCATGTAAGAAGCAAACCTCAGGGGGATTGGGAGGAAGAGTCAAGAATTCTCATTCACCTGAATATATTCTTAAATTCCCATTTTCTCCACTTTATGTATGAATAGGGCATGCACCTCAATGTTAAATATGACTTCCCTGCTGTATTTATTCTGACCAGATATCGAAAGCAAGAGACAGATGAATCTGGCAGAAGGGGCAGTGGATATAATCAGTTTTGAAGGAAAGATGTGGGTGAGAGATGTTGGGAATGAGAGAGTAGTGGGAAAGGAAACTACTATTGCACCATGTTAGCATCTCCTTCTCCCTGTGAAATTTCATAAGCCACTGATTTAAGTTTCCACTTATTCAGCCTAGAGGAAACATTTTAAACCTCGTTCCTTATTTGATCAGAACCAACCTGTTACAGCTCAGAAAATGGGAATTACATTAAACTATTAATGAACATCATCTGCCTACCTTAGATTTTTATTTAAAAAAATAAATAAAAAGAAACAATTCTAAGATCTTTTTAAAAAAGAAAAGGAATTTGGACTTTCTTTTTGAACTTGGAAGTCAGAGAAAACTATTAGTTCAAGGAACTCTTTATGGTAAAAGAAGACCTCATGTGAAATGGAGGAGACAGTATTTTTCTTCTTCTTTTTTCTTAACTTCTTTTAATGGTGGTAGATGGACTCCCTTGAGAAGCATATAGTGTTGCCCTGGAGCTCCTTCTTGGGCCTCTTTGTTCAATGCATTAAAAATTGACTTGACAGATGAGCAACTCCTCTGGTAGGATTTCTCAATATTAATGTGGGATTTTGTTCCCTCAGAACACTGGTCCATTAATCAGTCTCTGTCTTATAGACAGCGTCATAGGAAGCTGGCACTGTGAAAATTAGCACGTTTTCAGTCAAGTATGTTCCATATTGACAGTATTTTCCTGATTACTTGAATGTGATATAAAGATTACTACTGGAACCAAGCCTGGAGGAAACAAAAATGTTCTCTGATTTGGTTAAGTAAATCTTCACAAACAGTTCCAACCTTATTGGTGTGTGAGGGCTGCTGCAAATTTTAATAGAATGTCTCCTGCTATGCTCAGTAGGCACTGAAGTGAGCCATAAATCAAAAGTTTCATGGAAGCTTTAGACTTTTCAACATAATAAAATACCCATAGTTCTCTGCATAGAAACAATGCCTTTCATGCCATTGTCCCCTTGTACAGTTCCAACAGTGTATAATTTTCTACAAATTTCCTTTGCCTGTTCAAGGAAATGTGGCTTTTTGTGTGCAGAACTAGTTCTCTATCATTAAGCCATGGTTCCATTCCCGTCAGAAGGATCATGAATATTTACAAGAATTTTCTAAGCGGAGTGGGAAAAAAATCATGGATCACATCAAAATGATATCACTACTATTCCACTTTAACTGCGGGATCCTTGGATCTGAAGTTTAAGGAAAGGCATTTAGAATTCTCAGTCAAAGTACTTTGGTGAGTTCTGCTCATCAAACGTCAAATTGGGATTCCATGGAAATTAAAATTAGAATTATAGTGCTATAATTGTGTATTGTGAAAGGACCTATGACACACAACAACAACAACAAAGTAGTTATAGACACTCAGAGTTGGTGATATGATATTATTCAAAGTTAATGATACAATACTATGATACTAGTTGGTGATATGATACTATTATTATATTCATATTTATTTATCTCAAGCATTTTTTCTCAGTTCAAGACACAAGGTAGTTTACAATATTTAAACATAGTTTTTTAAAAGGTCAGATGATCTCAGAATGAACCAGAGAATGCCACAGATACTGCTGAGGCAAAAACAAAACAAAACTAACAACAAACCAAACATCATCTGGCCCCCATTCCTGTAAGTACAACATCCAGGTCTTCTTCATATCTGTCTCTATGCTTAATTAAAGCAGGTTCCTCAACTGTGGTAAACAAGTATAGTCAAATTTTTCACCCATGGATTCAACCATCCATGGCTTGAAAATATATATATATTTTAAAAAATCAAAAAGCAAACCATTGCCATTTTGTATAAGGGACACCATTTTATTAAGTCACTGAATATAATGGGACCTGAGCATCCACAGATTTTGGCATCCATGGGAACACCTAGAACCAAACCCCAGCAAATACCAAACCCACTGTATACTGTTTTTCTGTTAACAAACGTGGAAATAATTTTAGATTGTACATTACAATCTACAAGATGAGCAATGGGCTTTTTACTATAGTACATGAGAGAGCAAACACATGACTCTTGTAATGGCTTCTGCTCCAAGTCCTCTACATTAAGAGAGAGGAAGAGACCTCATCCCTCAACCCCGGAGAAGAAAAATAAATTAAAAATGGAGCCTCTCCTAAAGTTGTATGTACACACAAATACATGACAACCTCCTCAGTGGTTTAATAACTTGTACTTTTGCTACAATCAACTTCACAGTTAAACATACTGGCACAATCCCTACAGAAAACATACAAGGACACTGGGTAACAACACTGGACTATATTGCAGGCTTTCATATATCACTCTTAACTCCCCATAGAATAACTGCCACTACACAACTGGGTTATTTTGCAAGGCTGGCATAATACCCAGTCTACCTAAAGTGATAGACTTTATTTGCATGATTGACAAGGTACCTTTATAAATGTTTATGCACTGCAAATAAATCAATGTTTTGCTTTGATGTTAAATGAGATCCAAGTTAGAACATGAACTTCTGTCTTTTCTACTGACATTGTTTTGGGAGAACGCACACTTTTGTCCAATCACATCTGCACCAAAAGCCTGGATTTCTTAATTTGACTGATGTAGCAACAATTATTTCCCACCAGTGAAGTGGAGGGGGGGAGCTATAAAATGAGCATGGCCATTTCTTCTCCAGAGAGGAGGTGTATTTATTATTCTTAAAATTCAGTCGTTGGTTAAAAATGCAGGAACAAGCAAGGTGTTTTCAAAATGAATACACAGAATAGTGGCTGCTCATTCTGTCCCATATCTTGGAATCTGCAGCAAGTACAGGCTTGGGGTTGTTGTTGGTTTTTTTTAATAAAAATAAAAATAAAGCAGAAGTGTGAAATCAGAGAATTATGGTTTGACTCTGGAGTAAGGCGAATTGCCCCTTCATTATTTCCATGAACAGCCATTAGTAGAACTTGAATCAGGAAACAAGAGCAATGAAATGGTGATGATCCACTGATACTTCGATACAATGTTTTTGTTTGTTTGTTTTAATGTAAGATGAAAAGAAACATTTTTTCAGCCTCTGAGGGTATATTAGTATTCCTGAAGTTTCCCATTGTTTCTGGAAGAGGAACAGCCCTGTTTTCAAGTGTTTTCCAAAAGAAAGGGTGCACACAATGTTAAAAGCAAATTGTTTTAGACCAGTGTGGGAGGAAGAGGGCTGTAGTTGAGTCAAAAAGGTAGACTTCATAGAACACTTGCCAGAGAATTGGCTGGCTTTTTCTGGCCCCCCAGAATGAGTGGTATTGTTCATTTATGGCCTTTCCCTTGCAGGCAATACAAATAGACAACAGTTATGGCTTTTCCTAGTTTTCCTGAAATACAGCATATCTGAAATTGGGTATACTGTATTTCTACAGCCATCAAAGGACCATAATAGGTGCTATTTTCCACCGAGCTCTGAAAATTGCCTGCTAAAAATAAAGCTGATTGAGGGCCTTTGCAGACTGCCAGAAATAGTGCAAATTGTGTTACAGCTCACTTTAACTGCCCTGACTCAGTGCTAGGAATCATGGGAACTGTAGTTTATTGTGGCACCAGAGCTCTCTGACAGAGAAGGCTTAATGTCTCACAAAACTACAGTTCCTAGAATTCCCTAGCATTGAGCCAGGGCAGTTAAAGAGCTCTCAGACTAGATTATTTCTGCAGTGTGTTTTGGACCACAGTTACATTATCTCAACTGTATATGAAAATATGGAAAGGGAAATGTAGCTCAGTGATAAAGTATATGTTTGGCATGGAAAAGTCTCTAGGTTCAATTCCTGGCATCTCCAAGTAGGTCTAGAAAAGATTCCTGTCTGAAACCCAAGAGAGCCATTGCAGTTAGTACAATATTGGCTCAATAACTCAATAGACTGTGTCAGTAGAAGGCAGATAATGTGAATTTGCTTTTTGGAATCATTTAGAAGACATCACCGTCTTTCCCTTCACACCCCACTGTCACTGTTTCAGCAAATTCTTCATTGCAAATAATCTTATTTTTAATGTTTTACATATCAACAGTTTTGTTTTGAATTTGCACTTATACCCTGGGAAGCCAGCAAAAGCAGTATTAATACAGGCTGAGTATCTCTTACCTAGAATACCAAAATGCAAAATAGCCTGCATAGGTGACTGGATAGTGAAGCCTTTGCTTTCTGGTTTTTCAATGTACATTAACTTAGCTTCATACACAATTGTGTGTAAAATTACCTCCAGGCTATGCATTTAAGGGGTATACAGGAAGCATAAATGAATTTCATATTTAGACCTGGGTCCCACCTTCAAGATATCTCATTATGTATATGTAAATATTCCAAAATCTGAAAAATTTCAAAGCATTTAAGATAAGGGATATTCAACCTGTATATTTTTATATAAGGTTCAAAACACACTGCAGAAATAATCTAGTTTGAGATGGCTTTAACTGCCATGGCTCAATGCTAAGGGAACTCTGAGAACTGTAGTTTTGCGAGACATTTAGCCTTCTCTGTCAAAGTGCTCTAGTGCCACAATAAACTACAATTCCCAGGATTCCCTGGCACTGAACCAGGGCACTTAAAGTACTTAAAGTGGTCTCAAACTGTATTATTTCTGCCATGTGTTTTGGGCCTGTTATGCTCTAGCCTTGTGGTATAAGAGGTTACTAGAGTAGCCTGTGTGGCAGCAATAAAAGAATTGCTATGAGGCTACCCAAGGCAATGTGTAAAAGGTTCAAAACATGATAGTGTAAAGGAAAGCTCTGCACATGGAGGGATTGTATGCAATGCATAGAATGCATAGGGAAACTTGATATATCAGATCACTACTTTAATAATGAAAGCACTAGATTTCTAATCCTGTCTTCTACCACAATTCAAACTTAAAATAACATTTTGTTATTTCTCAAAAGTGTAGACTTTTAAAATTGTTCACTTCAGCCTTAAGTATGTCCAGAATACTGGACCTTAATAGTATTTAACAATTTTGTAATGAATGTATCTCTCAGTATTTTGCTACTTCAATTGTACTAAGCTTTCACAGTTTTGAAAATGAGTATTTTCATGTTCCCTGAGTAAATCATCATAAGTTGATAATTGCATTCAATAAGATACATTCCTGCCTCCCACCAGTGGTGGTAGATCATGGGTGGCACTAGGAGGAAGACGCTCAAGGCCCACTCAGCCAAAGAGCGGGAGAGTCCTAAATACAGCAAAGCAGGTGTAAGTGAATTAACACTTTACGGTCTGAATTTGGGGTCAGTGCTCAGGTGGGGGCTCTCTGTAAGACCTGTACATCCAGAATCTAAGTTTATCTCTGCACCGAGTATTCTTTTACTAAGGTGGTCCAGGTTTATAAAAGACAAACACTAGCATTCTTAAATACCATTGTTTATTTGATTCTTTGCTTGTTTTCTGTAGCAATGCTTTCTTTACTCAGCAATATGAGAAGGACATTGTATCGCACACTGTAATTTTAGTCTTTACTAGTAATCAGTTTTGTATTGTAAGTATTGTAAAAGTGCCATAATGCATCCAATTTGTCCATAGTAAATCAACAGGAATACAGTGGCTCAAGTGGTTAAGACACTGACTCTGTTGATTGCAAGATTGGCAGGTTGGCAGTTTGAGGCCCAGTTGGCAGTTTGAGGCCATGAGCTCCTGTTACTAGCCCCAGCTTCTGCCAGTCCAGCAATTCGAAAGCATGCAATTGCAAGTAGATAAATAGGTACCACTTTGGTGGAAAGATAATGTGTGTTCTGTGCAGTCATGCTGACCAGATGATCACAGACTAGTCTCCGACAATGCTGGCTCTTCGGCTTAGTAATGGAGATGAGCACCGCCCCCTATGGTCAGACATGATTTGATAATCTTGTCAACAGGGAATGCCTTTATCTTTACCTTAAATCAAGTCCATCAGTGAGATTTGTAAGTAGGAGTGAATGAGTGAGAGTAATAACAATGAAGGGTCAATGTTTTAGAAGGACTTAGTAATTTCAGCTAAAATTAACCAAATGTTTATATTTTGTTGCTGTTTTTAAACAGTTGTTTTGTGATAGCTTTAAACTAAGAGGTAGAATTTTGTCTCCAAATAGTGATCCTCTGGAACCTGCTCAATATACTGCTGCCACAGTAAGAAACATGCCTGAAAACCCAGAAAATGATGTAAATAGGACAGTGTCTGCCAATGCAACATCGGTAGCAGCCTTGAAGCCAACAGAACCCCAATATGCTGTCAAAACCTCAGGCTGGCAGTCTTCTAATCAGCCAGGTAAAATTTCCAATTCCAGGTTTTATTTACTTATTTAGAAATACAAAAATTTTCATATGAAAATGTAAACTGATACAAAATATTTTTTAAAATCATGTTTGTGTTGGTTGCCTTACTTTGTTTGTTTGTTTATTTGAAATAAAGTCTTATCCTATAGCATGACAGGATAAATAAAAACTGTTTACATATCACTGTCATTCAGGAATTGACCAAGGGGTTGGATCATGGCACTCTTTCCAATCTATAATTCTATGATTCTCTGAATCCACAAAATCTCATGACATATTATGCCCTGATGAAAGAAAGTAAAACCACATTCACAACCAATGTTGCTTCTAAAATCATTGAGAAATGCCACCTTAAGTATGTACCTTATTTTCCTGCGTATAAGACTACTTTTTAACTTGCAAAATCTGTTGTTAAAGTGGGGGGTGGTCTTATACGCCGGGTATAAGGATAAGGAGGACAGAGGTGCTAAAATTCTATATTTTGACTGGAAAAATGGGGGGTCGTCTTATACGCCAGAAAATACGGTAATTTTTAAAAAAATTTAATGACTGTTTCTATGTATTGCCTGATTATGTAGATTCAGAGTACATTGCAATGTCCAAGTAAAATGGTACATGGAAAGAGTCATGGAAACAGGTGTTAAGAAACTGTTGCCATGAGGAATGGAGGGTTAACAGGAAAGTAGTTAGGAAAAGGTTGAACAAAAATGGGGAAGGGAAGACAGTAAAGGCCACCTCTCCAGTAAGTCTAGTGGGAGAAGGAGGTTGAATTCATCATCTGAATTGAAAACTTTAAGAGTTGAGGTAACTAACAGGGAACAAAAAGACTGTGAGGGGTAGGCAAGAGGCTAACTGTTGAACATATAAAGATGGACAAACTCGTGTGCACAGAGTGAAAGCAACCAGAGAACCATAGAGATGTTTCCCCTTTGGGGAGGGAGGGAAGATTTATTCATATCTATTGTTGTTTGAGAATAATTACAGTTTATTTAAAATCCACAGACCTATACCCAGATATTCATCTTTGTACTTTCAATTCCTTTCTCAGCTCATCTGTTTAAATAAATCTATGCCCTGGCTTCCACATAAATATCTGCAGTATAGTGCATATGTAGACTTTGTGTCTTACCCATATTCAAGATGCATATATACTGTTAGTGTTAATTGGGACTATTTAGCTTTCCCATAAGATATTACTGGAGAATATATTTGAAAGTTGCATATACCATAGATCAGCATTCTTGCCCTAAATGTCATATGTTAAATGAACCCTACCTGTATGATTTACCAATGTGAACCCTGGAAATGGTGGCACCTTGCTGAATTTAAGTACTCTGTCTGCAAACTGTAGGGAGACACTTTGAGTCCCATAATGGGACAAAGGTAAATAAAGATAGAACTAACACATATAAATAAATGATAAAACCATACAGTAGAGAGAGTGATCCAGAAGATTATTTTTGAGTTCTGACATATATAGAATCTATTTCCCTGAGCTGTTTGTGCATATTTGTCCTTAATCTGTTGAAACTAGTGATTTTCTCTCCCCTGAAATTTTGAAGTACCAATGTTTCCTTAGTCAGGAGGGCCCCAGTGGCACATTTTAAGCTTTCCATAAAAACATAATGCAAATTTCAGCTGCTTTAAAGCAAGTATTGCGCAGAGTTATAATTTTATTTCTTCACAGTGGTATAGATCTTTTGTACTGTAAGTCTTTATATCTGGTTCTTCATAAATACACTTGCAGCTTTCCTTCATTTGCACGCTATTGCATCAGTTGAATTTTTTGTGTTCCAAAAGTTGTTAATCAAAGATACAAATTTTTGTAATCATTTTCTGCTTTAAAAAGTTGGCCATGTGTTCAGGCTTTATTCAAGACATGCTTTAACTTTATTTTCCTGTAAAAGTAACCTAATTTCATTTTTCAGGTTCTCTATTCTTTCTAAAGAGAACCAGTATGGTATAGTGCAGGGGTCAGCAACCTACGGCCCACGGGCTGGGTCTGCCCCCCACCAAGGCCTTTGGACCAGTGACTTGTGGTGCTGACCCGCGCCACCGCTGTGCACATCGCGGCTGCCATTTTGTTTTCCAAAATGACGGCCATGACTTGTTTGCACATGCACAGTACTCCTGCACATGCGCGAACGAGCCGCGGCCGCCATTTTGGAAAACAAAATGGCAGCCGCAACGCGCGCTGTGGCAGCCCACGGAAGACTAGGGGATCCCCGCCCGGTCCCAGGTAAGGGGAACTTGCCGAGCCCTGGTAAAGTGTTTTGAGCTTTGGGCTACGACTGTGGAGACCA